CAGCCAGGACCAAGCCCAGCATCCCCATCTATAAATCTTCCTGATACTCCTCAGGGCCCATCCAATTAAACCCCAGGGGCTCATGTGGAACCCTCCCATACTGCACCCAAAGGGATGTGCCCGGAGGGCCTGAACAGACCAACCCTTAGGAGGCAGGAGCAAGCCGGCCAAGGAGAGTAGCTGTTGGGGTTTGATCCTAACCTGTCTCTTTTCAGCCTTGTGGGATGGCAGGAATCTCTGGCAGGGTCTGAGTCAGCACTTAGCGTCGGTGGCTGGCAAATGCCTAAGTCTGGCTTTCTCCTTTAATCTCCACCTTGCATTTGGGGCGTCTCCATTTCACTACCCCAAACGCTAACCTCTTGCTGGCTGTAGCAGATAGACTCACACAGCTCCTCGTGGCGTTCTCATTTGTCTCCTGACTTACCCAAACTCCCTTAGGAGTCGGCGCTCTGTAACCAGCCATCAGCCACTACAGGAAGGCACCCAGGGGCGAATGCTCTCCTCAGCTAGCCCTGTGCAGCCGGTCTGTCTCTCACTTCCTATGACTCACACATTTGGAGAGAGATTCAATGGCTGGCTTTGTGTGTGTGAGAGTGATATCGCCCTCTAGTGGCCAGACCCACAGAGGATAAATGACCTAACAATGCCAGTAGAGTGGAGTGCTCCTTCAGATCAGGCAGTGGCAGCCTGTATTTTGCAATTGAACGATCTGTGCTTTAGACCAGGGGTTCTCAACCTGTTTCTTTCGGAGCCCCCTCCCCCCACCCCCCCACCAAGCTATAAAAACTCCACGGGCCCCTTGTGCCACAACTGGTTTTCTGCATATAAAAGCGAGGGCCGGTGTTAGGGTGACCAGATGTCCCAATTTTATAGGACAGTCCCAATATTTGGGGCTTGTTCTTATATAGGCTCCTATTACCCCCCACCCTCTGTCCCGATTTTTCACACTTGCTGTCTGGTCACCCTAGCCGGCGTTAGGGAGCAGCAAGCAAGCAATTGCCTGGGTCCTGCAAAGCTACATTGCTCAGGCTTTGGCTTCAGCCCCAGGCGGTGGGGCTTTCTGTCCTGGGCCCCAGCGAGTCTAATGCTGGCCCTGCTTGGTGGACCCCCAAGACCTGCTCGCAGCTCCCAGGGGGTCCCAGACCCCTGGTTGAGAACCACGGCTCTAGACCCAGCTGTGTGTGTGTGCACCTGATAGATAGTCATTGTGTCTGCCTAGAACATAGCTTTGTAACAATGCCTTTGTCCTGTATTGAACTTAAAGTCGCGTGGACAGGTCTCGTGCTCTCCCTAAGGAAGGATTTTGCTATATGGGTCTCTGTGTTTTAAAATGTCCTTCACTCACCGTATTGTAACCTCCACAGCACAACCTTTCACACTAGCCCTTCCTCAGCAAACTCCACCCACCTCAAATGAGCCAGGCTGCCCTGCCTGCCCCCCCTTCCTATTTATACTGACCCGCTGCCCAGGCCACACCCCTGTTGTGCTGAACTCCTGCAACAACTCCAAGCTCGGGCAGCTGTTACCTCTTTGCTGCCCCTTCCTTACAACTGGCCTCCAGCATTTTCCACGGCATGCCCAGACCCGCCAAGGCTCCCTGCCGCAAAGAGCCACTCCCCGGTTCTCATTGTCACAGCTCAGTCACCAGCCTGGTTATTCCGGGGCTCAGCCTGCCCTGGGGGACCTGGGGACGGTGCTGATGAAGTCTGGTGGGGAGATTTGATATCCCCCTGAAACAAAGCCAGGACAAACCCTTTCCAAACAAGAGGGAGGGATTTGACAGCCAGCCTTGAGATCAGAGATGCATTTGGCTCCAGATCCAGATGTCCCAGAGGTTCGGGTGTTCCGCGCCGGGGCTTTGCTTTGTCCCACTGCAGAGCTAGCAATCAAGGGATAAAGGGTTGGGAGCTGGATTTTCAGGGCTGCGGGAGCACACTGCACTATGGCTATTTTCTGCTTCCTAGGGTCCATGGGAAGCCGAGCACAAGTTAGAGCCACCCCAAAGCCAATCTAACCTACCCCACAATACCAGCAGGGTAATGGAGGCTCAAAGCCCTCTCAACCCCCTGCCCTCTGGTCCTGCCCCATGGAGTAACGGAGAATCCAGGGGGAGATTTTTACAGTCACAAAGGGACTGTACCGCCCCTGTATTTAATTCCACGGCAAATCCAGGCCACACTCTGCCTGCGTCTCTGGGCCCTGCCGTCATTACAGGAAAGGGAAGCAGGGCCAGGCACGCTCAGCTCCACGCCCCTGTGCCGAAAGCTTCCCCGTTCAGCAGGGCTGTAAATGGGAGATGTGATCCCAGCCGCCCGGGGGACGTCAGCCTCCCGGGATGGAAAGTCAGTGACTCATTTCATAAAAAGACATTGTGTTGCCCATGGCGTCCAGGTGGCTATTCTATTTTATGGGCTTTAGCCACCAGGGCAGAGTTCTGATCCGCAGCACAGACCCTGCGGCGTAACGGGGCTGTTCTTTTCTGATTTTCAGCTGTCAAGTCTGCATATAGTTTCTGGGAAGGTGCGTTCCTTTCTTCCCCTCCAGTTCTGTGCAACTGGCTGCTCTGATGCTTTATTGTTATGCATAGTGGTGTCGCTCCTAGGAGCGCTAGTCGTGGGCCAGACTACTGTGCTAGGTGCTGTACAAAGAGGACAAAAAGGCAGTCCCTGCCCCAAGAGCCTCCAGCCTAAATCTGAGACAACAGATGGACACAGACAGGGGTGGGAGTCCCAGGACACGAGACCATATTAGTCAGCAAGATAGGCCATGTATAGGCACTGTGCTAGCCTGCTGCACAAGGGTGAGTAGGGGAGGGATGGCTCAGTGGTTTGAGCATTGGCCTGCTAAACTCAGAGTTGTGAGTTCAATCCTTGAGGGGGCCACTTAGGGATCTAGGGCAAAAATCAGTACTTGGTCCTCCTAGTGAAGGCAGGGGGCTGGACTCGATGACCTTTCAAGGTCCCTTCCAGTTCTAGGAGATTGGATATCTCCATTAAAGAATGCAGCTGGCTGGTAGGTTAGCAGAACATCTCGGGTGACCACATGTCCCATTGTGGCCAGGACAGTCCCTTTTTTAAGCCCTGTCCCGGTCATCCCAACTTTTTTTTTTTTGGCAAAGATGGTATTTGTCCTGTTGGCTCTTGCCAAGTTGATCAGTTGGCAAGAGCAAAAGGGACAAATACCCACTTTTGACAAAAGTGGGGTGTGGTGCGGAGGAATGTGCGGGGGGGCAAAGGGCCATGCCAGCCCTACGCAGCGGGGGAGCAGGGCTGGGGGTGCGGGGAGAGACAGGGTTCCAGCAACAGCCTCGCGGGGGAGGTGGGGGGCGTTTCCCTTTGGGAATATGGTCACCCTACCACCCAGGGAGCACATTACACCTGCACTCCATCGAGTTCCCGTTCAGTTCCCGGGGCAGTGCAAGGGATTTATAAAACCCTTGATGCGTTTTTTCTCCTACACACCTGAGCGACCCGGCGCCCAGGTTGTGATCTCAGTTACACTGGTTTACATTGACTTAAGTGGTTTACACTAGGTATGTACCTTAACTCTTTATTCATGGGTTTTTAGAGGTTTAAGCCTAGGTCCGCTTGGCCTTCTGAGACTGAAGATCAATGTTAACTCTGCCTTAATGGAGGGCAGAGAGTAGACAGATAGGTAGAGCCCCGTTCTGATCACTTATTGCTAACATCAGTAGTAGTAATGCAAATGTCCCTTCCCAGCACAATAAAGCCAACACCACATTATCCCATGTTTTCCATTCCCCCTTAGCTGCGTCAGTACAAACAGCCCTGAGCAGACACTGGGCTCGTGTTGAAACAAAAACAAGTTTGTCCCAGTTCAGGCAAATCAAGCCGTGTGTTGCCACTTTCAAATACACGCCTGTTTTTATCCGCAGACACGTTTAATCTCACTGGGCAGCTCTAGCTGACGGTGGGAAGTGAATATTTGCTGAGGTCATCATGCCCAGCACCTCGCACAACCGTCATGGGCCTGCAACGTCAAGCAGTAGGAATTAAGCATCAGGAATAATTACGAGCTGGGTGGGATAAAAGTGCTGATGCAACCGTCTTCTCTATCAGCAACACCATCAGTGTGTTTGTAACACACCTACCCAGATGTGTTATCTTTGGCCGTACTCTGCTTTACCACTACCAGGGTGCATGGGAAACAAACCTGTGGTCCTGTAGTTCGCAAGGAATATGGGCTTGTCTGCACCTCTTTGAAGTAGATACTGACCATCCCTCTGTTAGCATGAAGCAATATCTCCCCTTGCAACCAGAGCAGACTGCAATGGAAGGAATGGGCATCAGAGACAGCTCGGCCCCACGCCTGGGCTGTATTGCCTTCTCTGCTACTGACTCACTGAGAGGACGTGGGCAAGCCACTTATGTTCACCCTGCCTCAGTTTCCTTATCCATTAAATAGCTAGAAAAATACTCCTCTACTCCTAGGGGTGTTGCAAGGCTTAATTAATTAATTAACAGGTGCAAAGCACCCGGCGCACCTCAGATGAAAGGGGCTGGTGAAGGGCAGGTTATTAGTTATTAGCGTTGTGCAAGTGATGGGAAGATTCAAATGCAGGCAGGATGCCAAGCGGGTGATCTGAAGCCCGGGTTTTGGAACCCGCCGTTCCTCCCCGTCAGGTTCGGCTTGCACGCTTGGGCCCCCGTTCTGCAGACACTTGGGCACACGCCAAGCGGTGGGTGTGCGAGTGGTCCCATCGTGCGTGTAAAATTGAGCAGGGGTCCGCGCGGGGGATTGAGGCCTTAGGGACTAGCTTGCAGAGCCGTGTGTTCTGGTACCGGAGCGCCGATTGTTATAAACCAGGGCGCTGGCTTTTGCAACAGACAGGCCAGAAACAAGAGCTCAGGATCCGGCCAGAGGGGCTGGATAAATATCCCTACGGGCTGGTTCTGGGGGGAGAGGAGGGGCGTTGTGACACAGCTGCTTTAAAGCCCACCTTTCAGAATAACCGCCCTCTTCTCTGAATGTGTCCACAGCTATGGGGAGCACGTCCAGCATTTCAAGGTACTCCGAGAGAGGAATGGCAAATATTTCCTCTGGGAAGAGAAGTTCAACTCCTTGAACGAGCTGGTGGATTTCTACCGGACCACGACCATCGCCAAAAAGCAACAGATCTTCCTGAGAGACGACGACCAGAACCATGAGGTACAAGGCTGTTCGGCTGCCCATACAGGTCACTCCAGGAGGGTTGCGAAAGAAGGAGAGGGCAGTGCCCAGCCCAGCAGGCCTACTGCTCACCAGCCAAATCACAAGGCAAGGCCCCAGTGCAGCCACTTCACAATACGCGTGGTATAACAGGCACAGAGGACACAGCCACAGGCTGTGGACAAGGGCAATCCAGTGGATAAAGTGTACTGGGACTGTCAGAAAGCCTTTGACAAGGTCCCACACCAAAGGCTCTTACGTAAATTTAAGTTGTTATGGGATAAAAGGGAAGGTCCTCTCATGGATCAGTAACTGGTTAAAAGACAGGAAACCAAAGGTAGGAATAAATGGTCCGTTTTCACAGTAAACAGTGGGCTTCCCTGGACCAGTGCTGGTCAACGTATTCATAAATGATCTGGAAAAGGGGGTAAACAGTGAGGTGGCAAACTTTACACACAATACAAAATTACTCAAGATAGTTAAGTCCAAAGCTGACTGTGAAGAGTTACAAAGGGATCTCACAAAACTGGGTGAGTGGGCAACAGTGGCGGATGAAATTCAATCTTGATCAATGCAAAAGTAATGCACATGGAAAACCAGACTCCCAACTATCCCTACAAAAGGATGGGATCTAAGTTAGCTGTTACCACTCAAGAAAGTCGCTGTGGAGAGTTCTCTGAAAACCTCTGATCAATGTGCAGCAGCAGTCCAAAAAGTGAACGTTAGGAACCATTAGGAAAGGGATAGAAAATAAAACAGACAATATCCTAATGCCGCCATATAAATCCACGGGACGCCCCCACCTGGAATACTGCGTGCACAGTTCTGGTCGCCCCATCTCAAAAGTGATATATTGGAATTGGAAAAAGTACAGAGAAGGGCAACAAAAATGATTAGGGGTATGGAACAGCGTCCATCTGAGGAGAGATTAGAAAGACTAGGACTGTTCATCTTAGAAAAGAGAGGACTAAGCGGGGATATGATAGAGGTCTATAAAATCATGGAGAAAGTGAATGAGGGAGTGTTATTTACCCCTTCACGTAACACAAGAACCAGGATTTACCCAACGAAATGAATAGGCAGCAGGTTGAAAACGAACAAAAGGAAGTGTTTCTTCACACAACGCACAGCCAACGTGTCGAACTCGTTGCCAGGGAGCGCTGTGAAGGCCAAACGTGTAACTGGGGTCAAAAACGAATTAGATATGTTCATGGAGGACAGGTCCAGCAGTGGCTATTAGCCAAGGTGGTCAGCGGTGCAACCCCAAGCTCTGAGTGTCCCTAAGCCTCTGACTGCCAGCCGCTGGGACTGGGCGACAGGGGATGGATCACTCGATAATTGCCCTGTTCTGTTCATTCCCTCTGAAGCATCTGGCACCAGCCACTGTCGGAAGCCAGGGTACTGGGCTAGCTGGACCATTGGTCTGACCCAGTGTGGCTGTTCTTATGTCTATACTGTAGTTATTCAGGCTGAACCCATTGCTGGGGGAGGGGTTCCTGCCTCTCTCTCCTCCCCCAGCTCTAGGTGAGACTGTTTTGCATGCTGCCAGGTTTGCAGAGCCCTGGGTGTCCTGCCAATCTCTCTCCTGCCACCCAGCTGCAAAGCCTGGCTCTGGGCCTGCAGCTTAATCGCAGGAGCGCGGTGCAGCCCGAGACATGCAGAGCGGTCCTTCAACGTGCTGAGGGCAGAGAAATGGAGAACAAAGCGAACGGGAGAGGAAGCCTGAAAAGGGGCTGGATTCGCTGTACCCCTGGGCTAGCAGCAACAGTGCTAGCTGACGGCTAATGCCCAGCGCGCCACTCAGGGCTGGGGTGGGAACCAGCAATATACTCAGTCCACCACCAACCAGAACAGCGCTGGTCCTAGGTCCACTTTTATCGGGCACAGGCAGCTCTGCTTCTGGGGGCACGACTTGCTTTTGTCTCTGAGGGGGCAGATGCCCCGCAAGGGTTTCTAGGACACTGCTCGGATAAAGCAAGGCCCCGGGCCGGTAAGGAAATGTGGTGAAAGTTGATGGATGGTAAGCGGGAAGCTAATGTTGCAGGGATCTAGAGCCAGAGCGAGCAGATCTGAATGGCCGGATGTTGGGGAACATTCGGCTCGGGACGCAGACTTTGCAGATTTTCGGTAAATCAGCCCGAATCTTTGGCTTCTGAAGAGTTCTGCGGATTTACCCCAGCGGAGGCTAGGACCCCGCATTGTCAGTCGGGGGAAAGAGGTGATGGTGGGTTATGGACATGTCCGTGTTTGTACTCAGCATCCAGGGCACGGTCCCTTTAGCAAAAGCTTTCAGACGCCCACCTCCACCCCTGCCCATTCCTTGCCAGGAGGCTCCCAGTGTCCCGTGTCAGCAGACAGAATTCCCTCCCCAGCACTGGTGGCAGCACCTGCCTGTAATTCCCTGCAGCTGAGGGCAGACAGGGGGAGCAGAATTTGCCTGTGTAGCTTTGATGCCTCCTCTGTCTTTCCCTCCTGACTCCTCTCTCGCTTGGTTTCACTGCAGGTGAAGAAGCCGAAGTTCGTCCAGGCTCAGTTTGACTTCTCCTCCCACGACCCGTCCCAGCTGGCCTTCTACAGAGGAGACATCATCGAGGTGCTGGACTGCCCCGACCCCAACTGGTGGAGAGGGAAGATCTGTGGGCGAATCGGCCTGTTTCCACGGAACTACGTCCACCCCATTCATATGTGACCTGCTAGCCAGTGTCTGCCTGGACGCCAGAGCTCCCTGGCTGCCCATTACAAAATAAACTGCAATCCCCTTCACCTGATGCCATAGAGCTTTTAGGGGACAAGTTACCAGAGCACCAAGGACCTTTCCCAGGCTTAAAGCCAGACTGGGGGATGCTGCACTGGACAGACCTGAACCCTCTGGGAACTGTGCGCTCCGGTGAATCCTCCTGCGCTAGGCATTTGCACATGGGGTTTTCAGTGCGGTGAAGAGGAGGCGATTTACTCAGCCCAGCGCATAAAAGGGACGCGACCAGAGTGAACCTAACGGGGCTCCTAGCAATCCTTATCGCGCCATCACTTTGCTTACGTGGTGTATCCCTTCCTCTTCGTCCTCTGTTTAGCTGCACTGCAAGCCCTTTGGGGCAGGGACCTTGTCCTGCTAAATGCCAAGCACACAATAAACCATCCTAATCCCACTCTCTGAGGGCAAGGCGCTTGGAGCTTGGCTCTTCCCAGCTCCTGGGCTTGTGAGCAGCCAGGTGACCTGGCCATGCCAGGCAGATGTTGAGCCAAGAGGATTCCTTTGACTGGCCTGCCTCCTTCTAGAATCAGCCCCTTTCCCTCCCCAGATCTCAGACAGGCAGGCACAGGGCCAGGGGCTTTCCAGTGGAGTTTCTCATACAGAGAACACTGACCTCTGTAGGTGGGCAAAGGTAGGCATTGTGCCACCATGCCCAACCAGCTCCAAACCTGCCCCTTGCCCAAACCTCCTCTCCACTCTAGAGCACCAGGGCCCTCGATGCAGCTGTTCGGGTCCCTGGGCGTTCTCCCTCCATCCTGCCCTCCCTGCATCCTGAAACTGCGGAGAGTTTTACTTCTACTGTCACAGGGGTTTGCCCCCAGCTGCCATTTCAGGAGACGTATCTTTGAGCTTGGGCATCTCTCCTGTCTTTCTCAGCCTGGAGCCGCGCGGACCTGCTTGGACGCTCTCTGCACTGGAGTTCTCCTGAGCCATCAGCGCGAGTGCAATCCACAGTGATTAACGAGGAGGCTGTGGGAGGGGCCCGCACATTCCTGGCACCTTTAATAGGGCTTCACAAAACGATCAAAGAGGCCGTGCGTCTTTTACTGCACCTGGTTACGAGCTGACTCTGACGCACGGCCAGCTGGGTTCCGTCGCTCATCCGGGGTCGAGAGATTGAATTCATTGTTTATGCAAATGTATCTCTGTCCCACCCAGTGCTGGGGTCATTCCATTATCAAGAGATGGCTAAATTCTGGGCCAGATCCCACCTTGTCAAAGCAGGTGTGATGCAGCTGAAGTCAGTGGAGTTACACCCTTACACCAGGTGTGGATTTGGCCCAATGATTAGAAACGGCGCTTGGCTTGTGTGTTGGGCGGGCGGGGAGGTTGTTTTGGCCACCTTTAAAAGCCAGCGTCACGCTTGGGAATCTTGCCAAGTCAAACGCCAAGTGGGAAGGGAGGCTGGCTCCCTGAGAAGAACTGGTGTATTTAAAAAGCAAAGACTGGTGAAACCTGTTAGAGAAGGGGGTCAGAGGCGTAAGATGCCCTTTTTGTTCTCCTCCAACTCACCACAAGGGCTTCAGGCTTGCTACCAACTGTGAGCTCAGTGAGATACTATTAATGGTCTAAACTCAAGGCCGAGGCCTGAACAAAGCATATAGCACCTTAGACTCCTTAGCGATAAGAGGAATTTGTAACACATGCTACTTCTATACTCACCTGAGCCTCAGGGAAAAGTGGATACAACAATGGCCAGCAAACTGAGCTGAAGAAAGATAAGGGGTCAATCTGGAAATACTTGCCTAAGAAACATGTAATGAATCTATGGAACTCACTGCTGCAGGATGTCATTCAGGCAAATGGTTTAACTGGCTTCAAAAGAGGATTAGCCACGTCTGTGTATAAGCAAAATGTTTGTAGCTAGGTTCAGAGCTTCCCAGGGGCATCCTAAGTCCAAGTGTTTCAGAGCACCAGAGAAATTCCACCCCATGGGCACAAGTTGGATCAGTCAGGTGCCTTATGGGGGATCATCTTCTGAGGCATCAGGCCGTGGTCAATGCTGGCAGCAGGGGGCACCAGACAAAACAGGCTGCCGGTCCACGTCAGGTTGGCAATTTTATGTTTGTCCGAACTCAGGCTGAAAACTGACAGTAATGCCTTGGTCTTTCACTCAGACTTTGTGCCTTGCCGATTGATTGAAAACCAGAGGGTAGCCTGGGACTATAAGGCTACTTCATTCACGGGCACTTAAGTTAAAGGCTACTGAACTAATGTTTGCCTTGCCCCGCATTGGCTGAAGAAGGCTTGAGGCAGGCCTCCTTAGCAACCAAGAATGACCAGTGTGGTCCACAGAAAGCATCTGAACCAAACCTGCGGGCTGCCTTGGCTTGTCAGCTGCACTGACATTGTGACGGCACCAAGCTACCGAGCCACAGAACCCCGGACACAGCATCATGTGCTACAGTGTGAAACGTCATCTACTTCCCCCCTCCGCTCCAACTGGCTCCAAACCTGGCTAGATTGTAAATGCCACCAGACCAGTCTGAACCCAGAATACTCAGTGGGCTCCTTGTTAATATTGGGGGTGCATTAGGGTGTCACGTTCTGACTAATGAGCAATGGTCTCAAGTTGCAGTGGGGGAGGTTTAGGTTGGATATTAGGAAAAAGCTTTTTCACTGGGAGGGTGGTGAAGCACTGGAATGGGTTGCCTAGGGAGGTGGTGGAATCTCCTTCCTTAGAGGTTTTTAAGGCCCGGCTTGACAAAGCCCTGGCTGGGATGATTTAGTTGGGGATTGGTCCTGCTTTGAGCAGGGGGTTGGACTAGATGACCTCCTGAGGTCCCTTGCAACCCTGATCTTCTATGATTCGATGACTACACCTTCAGGGGAAAGGAGAGGCCAGCAGTGGTGTTAGCAGCTCTTTCTAACGTCTATTTCCAAACTACTATTCAATCAGCCTGATTTTTATATCTAGCTTGTTTCCTGAGATCATTAAAGAAAGTAAAGCGGAGCTCTCTCTCCACAGAGACAATGAGACCAGGTTAATGGTGACGTGGTTGGCAAATGAAATGAATCTCACCACTGTACCATGGTTCAATATCAGATATGACCCTCTTTGGTTAGCCTGTGTCATATCCAGGGAAATTGGGATGTGCACACACACTAGCTACTTCTGCCGTGACATCATCCCATTAGGCCAGAACTGATTGGCTAATATTGCTTCACTCCCGAAAGCCGGTGCTTCCAGGACTGATGTGAAACCCACCCAGATTTCAGTGCCGGAGCCACACAGTTCAATAATTCAGTGATTATTTGCAAGCAACCAAGCAGATGGCATTGCCAAGGCGTGCCCCAGGCACTGGTTGTGGTCAGGCAGATATAATTTCTAGCTGCAAACTGCATTTTAATTCAGAGACAATAAAAGGTTATTCTGAGGTAACACAAAGGAGGGGGGTATACACAGAACCTGCCGTGAGGCTGGTTTCCATTTCCAGTTTTAGGAAGGCCACCCGGAGCTAGAAATACAGGTTACACAGATTCTCCAGGGCTGACATAAAAGTCTGCATAAGAGAGCTGCAGGCCAGCTCTGTCCAAAGCTACTGCCCCATGCAATGTCTTTGCCCATTGTACCATAAGCTTCTTTAGAGTCAGTGGCTTAGATCTTAAATGATATTCAATGAAGAAACCAAAAATGGACAAGACTGGAAAAGCCAAGTTCAGCTTCTGATCCCAGTGATGGCCCCCGGGATGGACAGAACGCCATGCAGGGTATGCACGCTGCTCCCAGGCAGCTCTGTCAATGCCCCTCACTCCTGCCCTGCAGCCCCCCTGCTTTTCCAGCCCTTGATCTTCCACAAATCTCTCCTCTCCCCCGAGCGGAAACACCCCCAGCTCTTCAACTCCTGGGCCCCTCCCGAGCACCGCCTGCCCCTGCCATGTGGAACCGGGGAGATCATCCGACACATTTCACGAGCTGTAACTCACATCTATGGAAAGACAGGCCGTAGGGACCTGTTGTGCCAACCCTGGTACTCCGACCTTCTGGCCCACGAAAAACTTTGGGACAAGTTAAGCTGATGCAAAACCCTCCAATGCCCAGAATGTAGGGGGAAGGGAAGGGGGAATTAATCACACAACTGTCTCTTTCCACCTTCCCCTTGCCCCATCCCTCCCCACTACACCTTCCTCCTCTTCCCCCTCGCCCCTCCTCCCACCCCTCCCTTCCCCCGATCATCTCCCCCACACCACTGGCTGCAGTAGTGTTAAGCGAAATAGGCATAGCAGAAGACATTGACACACATCAGGATGACAGCATTGATGCAGCAGATCCTCGCCCAGAAGGGGGCCTCTGTGATGTCCCTCGGGGCCTTTGCTGGGGGTCCCTCAGGCTTCGCCCCCTGGGGACTGCAGAAGAAATCCATGCCGGGGCAGGTCCCTGGCGCCCCCTCCTGGGAATCTGTCACAGATGGGGAGAGACTATGAGGGGGACAGAGTCATGGGGACCACCTGCCCTGCACACTTCACATGGGCCAGGGTTGGCCAAAGAGCTGTGCCTGACGATGCGCAGAGCAAGAGGGTCTGTGTTTCAAGGGGTGGGGGGCAGGGCCAAGGAGCCTGGACCCAACCCCAAAGCAGAACCTGATCCCTGAATCCACGTGGCTCTGGTTGAAATGAACAAAGACCCCCAGCGCCCTGACCCCTCCCCGGCTCCTCCCCAACCCCCTGAGCTGGGATTGGAACTCAGGACCGTTCTGTGCTCAGAACACGCCCCAGGCCACAGCAGATTTCCAGGTCTGAAGGCAATTCTGCAGCTGGGACTCCCGGGTCGAGGAGACGTCCCCGCCGTACCTGGGAGCGAACGAGCGTGCTAGAGTATAGCCACGAAGGCACAAGCAGTGGGAGAGGCTAGCCGCTGGGGTACATACCCATCCAGGATGCTAGGCACATACTCATGCCAGCCAGCCCCTCCCACCACTCACACACCCACGCGCCCTATCGTTCGCGCCCAAGCACGATCAGATCTACATTCACTATGTCTCCTTGAGCTGGGATTGACACCCCCAACTCAAAGTACAGGCCACCCCTTCGTCGTTGGGTTCTTAGCCGAGCCTTGGGTCATTCCCAAGCCCTAGCTGGTCAATATCAGATCACACGTACCCTCCTTTCCTCTCCTGGGTGAGTGGGTCCCTGCTGATGCGCTGGCCCTGGAGATCTCGGGAGGCAGGCGCCCCCGGGAAATGGTCCACCAGGTGAGGTTCTTTATCTGGAACGCAGAGCGGGAAGCTTAGAGGGGCCAGAGCAGAAAAGCGTCATAGCGAGAGGAGATGGGCCGAGTACCTACCCTCTGCCGGGCCCCTTTCAAGTGTCTCAAGTTGGGCATCTGAAAACAGAGGCCCCCAGCGTCACCAGCTGCTATGGCAAACTATGGCTGTGGAGTCTGAGGCCCGATTCTCCTCCCCCTCAGCGGAGCTTCCCCCAATTCCCCCCAGGGTGACAGGAGGTCCCACCTGAGGTCGCCTGGCCTGTACTATCTGAGCACAAAGACAATGCTCTCCCGCGGTGCAGCCACAACCACCCTGCAATCCCTCGGCCTGGCCCGGCAGCACTCACGCCCTCCAGGCACGGCCCTGCCTATGGGGTTTGATCCCTAGGTGCCAGGGCTCTGCGTTGGTGCTGCCATGGTAAACCCGAAGAATCAGCTTGTTGTGGGGGGTGGCCAGATCCGGGGAGCAAATGCAGCAGTGTCTAGGAAGCACCGTCTCACATCACCCGCAGGGGGGAATTGGAGGAGCCCAGTTATTCCTCTGAGGATGCCCAGCAAAGAACCGGTGGTGAAGGACGACAGGAACAGCCCATGCACAGGGACATACCCAGCCCCCACGGTGGGAGGTCACCCAGCGATCTCCCCATGCTGCTCAGCCCGGCCAGCGTCTCCCTCTAAACACCTGCCAGATTCGAACCCCGCTCTGAATTCTCCAGGCCGGATCCTCAGCAGGGTGTAAATCAGGGTCATTCCACTCCCTTCAGTGGAGCTACACGGAGGTACACCAGCTGAGGCTCTGGCCAGGGCCTGCGTGGGTCAGCGCAACCCAGCGTGAGCTCGGCCAGCGGCCAGCAGGCAGGAGAGTCATTGGCCATGCCCACAGCTGGGGCAGGTCCCTGTGCTCCCTGCACCCCAAACTCCTGCATGCTGCCTGGCTCCCCTGAAATAAACCCCATGCTCTGACACCTACCACCATCTCCCTGGCCCCAGAGTAGGACAGCAGAACCAACATCCCAGCCCCAGCCTCTGGGGGAAGTCCAGACCCAGAGCCATCCCTCTACGATGGGCTGACCCCAAATGCCACTGGACTGGGGAAGGGGGGGAAGTTTCCGTGTGTGTGTGTGGCCCCTCCCCCTCCATAGCGTGTTCTGGGTGCGAGCTCCTCACCCTTCCCTGCTCCGAAGCCCCATCCCCGCTTTCACGTGACATAACATTAACAGGCGTAGGGCAACGCAAACAAGCGGAACACAGCGGGTCGGTCTGCTGTCAGGCGGCCTTCCGGCTGACAACGAAAAACAGCCCAGCCACCGCAAACGGGGGCCAGACCTCAGCCCTGAGCAGCCACGCATGGGTGGAGCAGAGAGGACATTGAAGGCGGTTCCCCAGAGACAGCTATTCTGTGCCTCTGGCTGGAGAATTTGGTCTCCTCGGCTCGTAGCTCTGCGATCACGGCCCTTGTTCCCATCTGGAGAAGTAGCTGCGAGAGAGCTGTCTTTCCCCAGCCACATACGCCTGTCCCAGGGAGACACGTCCCTTGCTGGATGTAGGGGCTTCCCTGCACGAAGGAAGGACCCGCGTGCCTGCGTGCACGTCCCGGGGGGATCTGAATACCACAGAAGTGACTGTGCTCGACACGTAATGGCACCACTGCGCTCCTTTGCGTGGCTACCAAACCTCAATCCCCGTCCAATAGCAGAAGCTGAGCCCAGGGCTGCTTTACCCGTATGTTTGCCCACGGGCCGTGGCTTAGGACTTTTGCTGCCAGCCACGTGCCCCTCAGTATCAGAGCTTCGCGGCGGGAGGGTGCGGGCTGGGTCTTTTCCATGCAGGGGCAAGTGGAAATAGGAGACCTGTTCGCAGGACCTGCCTCCTGGCTGACATGCCCACCTTGGTACCCTCGCCAGACTCCAACAACATCCGGCTCGGCCTGTGCAGGGGGTTGCGAGGAGGGGCGGCTGCCATGGCCTCTTGGCAGCAGGGAGGGAAACAAGGTCAGCCCCGCCCCCCGTCACCAACGCCCCCTTTGCAGTCAAACTGAACAGCTGATCGCTTGATCCTCGTCGGGGCCGTGCAACTCGACTTTACCCACCTGCGACTCGGCAGGGGGCCCGCTCAACAAGCTGACCCCCACCACGGCGCCGGCCGTCAGAGCGCAGAGGAGGATGGCGAAGTGGAGGTAGTGAACGTCCTTCACGAGGGAGGGGCGCTCGTCCGGGACGCCACAGCGGGGTGAAGGGTACGCAAACTCCAGCCCCATCCTGGCCAGGCCTAGCGCCAGCCCCAGCATCAGGCCCCAGAAAGCTCCCTGCAAAACAGAGACGTTCAGGGCGACGGCGCCTCTCCCGGAAAGTGAACTCTGCTGAACCCCCTTCCTGGCTCGCCTTTGTCAGTGAGCGCTTCCTAATGTGTCCGCACCCTGGGGGACCAGCCCAGGTCTTGTGACTAAGGCCCTGGGGTGGGACTCAGGAGTTCTAGGTTCAAATCCCAGCTGTGTTGTAGACTTCCTGTGTGATAAGTCGCTTTCTGCAGAGCCGGAGGTGCAGCTCGGGTTCCTGTACACACGTTAGCTTTGATCGAGCCAGCTGCCAGAGTGCACTCCTGTCTGCGATCCTGGGCTACCACTCCAGCGGCTACGTGGCTATCTTTAGTGCACTATCTTGATCAAAGCTAGCCCAGGCCCGTCTACCCAAGCGCAAAATTATACCTCCAGCCGCAGTGCAGACATATCTCCTGTCTTGCAGGTGCCTGTCTGTAAAAGGAAGATAATGTCTCTTACTGTGCACGTACAGCCCCTAGCACCAAGGGACCCGGATCGTAGTTAAGAGTTACAGTAGAGCCTCAGCGTTACGAACACCAGAGTTACGAACTGACCAGTCAACCCCACGCCTCATTTGGAACTGGAAGTGCGCACTCAGGCAGCAGCATATCCACTGCGCTACTGTGTTAAATGTAAACTACTAAAAAAATGAAGGGAAAGTTTAAAACAAAGATTTGCCAAAGTGACGGTGAGGAAACCGTTTCTGTGGTTGTTTCCTTTAAATTGAGACGGTTAAAAGCAGCATTTTCCGTCTGCAGAGTAACGTTTCAAAGCTGTGTTAAGTCAATGTTCAGTTGTAAACTTTGGAAAGAACGTTTTGTTCGGCGTTACGAACAACCTCCCTTCCCGAGGTGTTCGTAACTCCGCGGTTCTCCGCGACGGTAATACAAATGTTAGTCTCTGGCCAGCCACAAGACAACTTTGCACTGGTTCTGCCATGGGCTGGGTTCTTTCTTTCCAGGACGCTAACGAAAGAGAATGTAACAAACATGTATTTATGCGGTGGAAAGTCCCTCGTGTCCCAGTCTGCTGTTTGCTAGCGCAGTTGCCTGCCAGTTACTGTTTTCTGTGACACTGAGCTTAAAACTTCCCAGGCCACAGTCGGGCAGCGTTGCATGTCAACACCTGGGCTGTGCTCACATGTCAGCTACACATGACCCACCCACCAGTTCCTTGGGGAACCACCGCCTCGCTCTGGTCTCAAACGCAGGCAAGCGCGATTTCTGCTCTTCTTTGGGGGACTGGGACTCGGTTCCGCAAACAAAACTCTTCAGAAATCCCTGAGGGTGCCAGCGGCTAGAACCGGCCAGCCAGAACTGGCCTGGCCACGTCCTCATGGCTGAGCCTGACCACCAAAACCCTTGGCGTTGTCCTACCGAAGAACAACCGATGATCTTCAAGTCCTCAGGAGTACAGAAGCGTAAGGCTCGTGGGGCTGGTCCTTGGCCTGATGAGACTCAAGGTGCTGCGTGCCGTGCCACACCTCCTCCACTTTCTAGTATCCCCCTTACCACTAAGGGGAAACCGGGGGGGGGGGGTCTCACTTGGTGGGAGGGTCATGGGACCATTTCACGGGCACTCAGCTAAGACAACAGCATGGTGAGACTTCATTACAACCCACAAATCAATGTAGGGCCCCTCCTGCCTGTCAACGGTCACGGGACTAGCCCAACGCCCTGCAGGAAGGCTGGGGTCCAGAGGCTACCTGCACCCCTCTATTTATTCCTTGGTGCCCCTAACGAGAGACCCAGCAATATAGGCGTTTCCACCTCAGATGAGACCCATCCAAACCAAGCCTCTGCTTCCAGCAGGTACCAGCACCTGATTCTTCAGAGGAAGGTGAAACGCTCTCAGAATTCACGGGCCATGTGCCAGCCCGGGGAGGCACAATCTGGCGACGAAGCAGAAATGCAGCAAATGGATTTTCCTGTGTGACCTAGCCCAGGGTCTGACCCCAGGTTTCCCCAAGGGAAAGGCCAGCATGCACTGGGGTAACAGCGGTGAGCCTTAGCAACTGGAATCGCATCAGCTAAGCCGGGCCAGCGCTCTACAAGAGACGCTCTAGCTCAGAGGCTTTCAACCTGTGGTCCGCGGACCACTGGGGATCGAAGATCTCCAAAGGGGGCTGCACCGCTAGTCGAAATGGTTCAGAGGGCTGCAAATGAAAGAAGGTTGCAAAGCCCTGCTGTAGCTCCACCAGAAGCAGTGGGACCAAGGCAGGAATCAGCAGGGGAGGTTGTCTGGCCCGTGATAGGCGGGGGGGTCAGGCTAGATGATCGCAGTGGTCTCTTCCAGCTGTAATATCTAGGCGTTACAAGATGCCCCCCCCCCGAAATGGCAGAGCGCTTACCTGCTCGTTGGCTCGTCTCCAGAAAACTGCCAGGGCGAACACAGCCGTGATGGGCGGGGCGAGGCAGCTGGTCACCGACTGGATGTAGATGTACAGCTGGCCGCTGTTGGAGCTCTGCAGGATGGGGATCCAGACCACGCTGATGGCGACCAGAACCACCGTGACTGTCCTGCAAGAGGCAGCAACCCCGCGTGTGAAGAAACAGACGTTCCGCCAGCTGCAGAGAGGAGGAAGGGCTAGCCCCAGCGGGTGGCATGTAACACGCTCCTGCGGGAAGGCACGGGTGAAGTCTGCCCGGTGCATGCAATATACACAAGGTACGGGCATGAGCTTAGCATACAGCACACATAAGGTACTAGGGGGACACTTGTCTATGGTGCCCGCATCATAGGATTTAAGGCCAGAAGGGACCAGTTCAGGTGTGCCAGAACAGAGCGGGCCCACCCAGCCCAGGTAAGAACAGCCCAGGGAGCCCGGGCAGCTGTGAGGAGCCATGGACCCTCCACCTGCCCAGGGTGGGGGTCTGAGAGCAGCCCCCGGCCTGTGTCCCCCCCTCCCAGTCCCGCGTCCAGGGCAGGTGGAGGGTCTGCAGCTCCCCACACAGATCTTACCCCGACCCAACTCCAGCTTCTGGCTTGCCCGGGGGTCGGGGCCTCCGGAAAGGGTGGGGCCCTTGAGGGGGCGGAGGCTCGTGCCCCCCCATTAGGAAGATCCCGTGGCCCCTGGATCAGTTGATCACAAACCAGGGTAGACGCACACTGAAATTCAAAGCACAGGGCCAGCCTGGCCTTTACTGATTACAGACACCGGAGTGGACTGTGGCTTCTCCTAGAGTGACCAGATGTCCCGATTTTATAGGGACAGTCCCGATTTTTGGGTCTTTTTCTTATATAGGCTCCTATTACCCCCCACCCCCGTCCCGATTTTTCACACTTGCTGTCTGCTCACCCTACTTTCTCCAGTACTCGGTATCTCAGTTGCTAGTGGAAGGATCAGTGGATTGTACTGCAGCCCTTCTGTGCTGGGGGCAGCTGGCACAGCTCAGGCAAACTGTTCAAAATGCCAGGCCCGGGCACCAGGGTTCCCAGTGTCTCGCTGGGAGCGGAGCTGCCTTCGTGGTACTCCCAGGAGCCTGCTGGCTCCGAGTTCAGGGCTGGGACCCCTGGCAGGCAATGCAGAGCACGGAGCCGCTCCCTGAAGCCACAGAGCCAGACATGGAGAAAAGATGCTCCGGGTTTGTTTTATTCTTGCCTCTCACTGAAATAATAGGGGGCGTTGGCACCGGAGGCGAAGCAGCCTGCTGGCTAGGGTCGGGCACACCTAGGGCTGCAGGTCTTTCATTTCCGAGAGTCCCAGCTCCACCAGCGCCTCTCTGCTCCCCGCCCCTGGGAGATACCCTGCTCCCCCACTGTGCCTGGCAGACACGCAACTGCAACTCCTTGGCAACCGCAGCTGTGGGCTGGACACCAGCCACTCCTGAGGCTCCCCTGCTTTCCTGGGTACCCCGCTGCTACATGTCCCCAGCATGCCGGGGCCTAACAACTCCTAACAGACTCCTGGGCCTAACAACTAACACTGCCCTGAGCCCGATCCCTTTGCAGGAACAGGGCAATACAAGTATCAGGGGGTAGCCGTGTTAGTCTGTATCTACAAAAACAACAAGGAGTCTGGTGGCACCTTAAAGACTAACAGATTTATTTGGGCATAAGCTTTCGTGAGTAAAAACCTCACTTCTTCGGATGCAGCTGAAGAAGTGAGGTTTTTACTCACGAAAGCTTATGCCCAAATAAATCTGTTAGTCTTTAAGGTGCCACCAGACTCCTTGTTGTTTTTGTTAGGGCAATACAACTCACTCAATCCATACAGTGTTGTGTGCTCCAAGGGGCGCTGAACACTAACCTGGAGCGGATCCAGTGTCAGACTGCATTAGAGTCTGTCTAAACACTGCACGAAACCTGGACCGCAATCTGTGGAACACGCAATGGCTCTGAGCACGTTACCGGGGACAGGAGCGATCATAAACATATAGCTAAGGGTAGCATAAAATCCCACTGCTAACACCATGTCAGGGTCTTGCATGCGGGTCCCCACATCTGTACCCCAGAGTTCAGAGTGGGGAGGGAACCCTGACAGGAGCCACTCAGTGCGTTAATGACAGTCATACATCACTGCCGACAATTTTGTCACCAGCGCAGACCTGCTGCTGCTTGTGGTTCATGCCACCCTCTATCCCTGCTGCTCCCAAAGCACCTGGCAAGCCCATGCTGAAGGAGACAGTTGCCTTAGAGGGACCCAAACCCCTCCCAACAACCGGCTGGCTTACCAAGCACTCTGACTTTGCGTCCCCAGCTGCAGGGCGCTGCGGGTCAGGGAGAGGGCTGAGGCGTGCAGGGCTGGGATCGCTTTTATTTATATCCCAGCCAAAATGCCCTCCATTTAATTATAATAACCACAAGGCCCTTCCTTCTGGGTCAAATGCTTTGGAGAGCAGGCCTCTCAGACGGCGTGAGATCCAAAACAAGGCCTCCCCCGCCCTCAGCCGCCTCTAGACAGACTCCGGGCAGCCCAAAGAAACGAGTCAGTAAGGGAAGCATGAGCGTTTCTTCACCACAGGATTGGAGCCGCAGGGCTTGCTGGGATGCGCCCAGACACCCGCTGTTGTGGTCTGGCCTTGCGTCCTAAAGCAAATGCACGCCTCATTGGGGAGGAGGCTTTTTCACTTGCAGTGATCGGTGGCTGGTTCTCTCACGGCCGTGTGGTAGCCTGGCTTTGCAGCGCTGTCAGTGCTCCGGGAAGATCTTATGCAGAAGGCTGGCTCAGCAGTTTAATGGCAAGGTCCTAGGCTGAGTTGGATCCGGAGCTGCCCGGACAGCAAGGTGTGGGAGCACTGGAGAGGCAACACACTAACCCCTGGGAGGGCGAACATGCGGCGCTGTGGTCAAGTGACCCTCCCAGCCACAACGGCAGCCTCTGGCTGACACTCAAAAAGTGCGCGGACGTGGAAACAGCCCCTTCTAGCTCCCTCAGCCAGGAGGTCTCTGAGCAGGATTCAGTCTTGCCAGGGGTACAGACAAGTGCTACATTTTTAAAAGACGTCAGCTCCGGTTAACATGTTCCAAAGTGTCCAGGTGACTTAGAGGCCTTGGACTTAGGCTTGTTAGCTACTTGGGCACTTTCGAAAACGTTACCCTAGACGGAGGGCCCAGTCCCGCAGTCCTAGAGCCCATAAAACTCCCCTGACGGATGGACAAGGGCCTCTGATCAGCCCCGTGGGAATTCCTATCCGATGGTTCACGCGCTGGGCTCGGCTGGGTGGAGCTGCATGGTGCAGTCATTCACTTGTCAGTCCCGTGATCTGCCCAAAGGAGCCAAATGGGAAGATTTTCAATGTGAGCCTCTCAACGATCGAATTCGAGGGCTTCCCGCAGGGTTAAGCCACGTTCCCTGTGGAGAACCAACAGTGGGGTGTGGAGAGGCCTGGAGGGCTGAACATCCACCCACCCTTTCGGGAAGCAGCAGGGGCTAGTGGCCAGGACTAGGCCTCAGGGAACCTGGGCTCTATTCCCAGCCAGGCCCGTCTGTCATCGGTGCGTCTCTAGACCCCGTTCCCGTAGTGCGTGAGCACCTCAATCCTTAACGTGTATATCCTCCCAACGCCCCGGGAGGCTATTACCCCCATTGTACAGCTGGGGGCTGAGGCCCGGAGAGGCTAAGTGACTCGCCCAAGGTCACCCAGGAAGTCTGGAGCAGCGCAGGGAATTCAAGCCCCAAGTCCTAGTCTAGTGGCCCAGCCACTGGGCCAACCGCCTGGCGACTTTGGGCAAGTCTCGTCCTGCCTCTGTGCCTGTTTCCCCTCCCGCCCCTCGTAATCCACGCTCCCCAGGCATCCAAGGAGAGGCTCTCCTAACGTAGGATAACTCGAGCTCCCGTTAGCTCTCGCCCACAGTACGTGCTCAGAACCTGCACTGCTCCAGTCATCTACCACCTCCCACCCATGCACCTCTTCTGCTCGCCACCCCCTGCCCAGCCAGCACCCCCCACGCTGCCCAGCTGCTCTGGTTTCACTCGCTGATCACTAAACTGCAGCTTTCAACCCCTCAGATCCCTGACCAACATGTAGCTCGAGGGACAAGATCCTGTGGGGGAAACCCCTTCCCCAGGAGGCCCTGGGTCCTGCAGGGCAGGGGGAGTCTGTCTCCTAGGGGCTGAACTACCCCATTTATCCACAGAACAGGTGCAGGAGGTTTTATCCTCCCCCACCCCTGCACAGGGCTTAGATACCACAGAGAGCAGGAATTATTCCGCTCTGTAACATACTGTAGTGAAGATGTGGTGGCATGGGCTTGCCACCCCAGTATAAGCCCACTGGGGACTCTGGGTACGTAGTTGGGATGCTGCCACGTCTATACCACCATATCTTCACTGCAATTGCCCACACTAGCTAGATTAAAGCTACCCAGGCTACAGTTCCACCTTGGTTTGCAGTGCAGACGCACCCAGAGACCGCATCCTTCGGGCAGAGGCGGGCTGGCGCTGGACTCATCGGTGCTGCTCCTGGATCGGCCAGCAGTGGGCGCCACTGAGTGGCATGCTTTCTCCTTGCGCTCTGCAGCGCTGTGTCAGGGAGACGGTGGCTCGGATCAGGACTCAAACCCAGGTTCTCTCACCCGACAGCACAGAGCAATGCAGGTAAAAAGGGCAGGCCAGCAGCGGGGCCTGCCCAGGTGATGTCTAAGGGTAGGTCTACACTGCAATTAGACACCTGCAGCTGACCGGGGCTCACGGGGCCTGGGCTAAGGGGCTGGTTAACTGCACTGTAGCTCACCTCGCAATGGTCCCAGTGCCCGTGCGCCAGCCCGAGCCCAAACATCTACACTGCACTTAAGATGCCCCTTAGCCCTACCCCCATGAGCCTGAGCATGGGCCAGCTGCAGATTTTAACTGCAGTGTAGACAGACCCTAAGGGGGTTAGGTCTCATCCTAGTGTCAAAGCAGCGTTCTCCTGTTGCAGCTCTGAGCAAACCTGCCTCGGGTAATTCCACTCCATCCTGAGTGCCATGAAACGTACCAGCGCCTCATCCATGCAGCAGCCCTCTATTCCTCTCCCCGGCTCCGGCACACTTGACTTTCTGACTCTTTGAGGCATGCTCTGGCCTGAATTCCCCCAGCGGGGTTTGTCTGTGCCCATTGCATCACCTTGTGTTTAGTCATCTGCTC